TTATTTATTTGACAGAGAGACACAGCGAGAGAGGCAACACAAGCAGGGGGAGTGGGAGAGGGAGAAGCAGGCTTCCCGCAGAGCAGGGAGCCCGATGCAGGGCTCCCTGAGGTGAAGGCAGATGCTTAACGACTGAGCCACCCAGGCGCCCCTAGTTTCCTTTTTTTAAATTGGTCCTTGGAAAGTATGACATGAGAAGCACTAATTGATATACAAAACTTTTCCCTTAACCATGGCTTTTTAATGATTATTGGCACAATCACTAATTAGGGCCCTCCCGTGAGCATCTCACAATCTTCAGTGAAAGGGGAACTAAGAGATGATCTAATTTAAGCTGCTGTGAATGAGTCCCTTCAGTGGCATCCCGGTAAGTCGCTCGGCATCCACCCCAATGAGTATCTCCACTCTAAGGTGGATACTTCTAGTTTTTAAAAACTTTTTTCCAGTTTATTGTGATATAATTGACACATACACATTGTATAAGTTTAAGGTGCACAGCATAACGATATCATAGATGTATAAATTGTGAAATGATCACTACAAGTACGTTTAGTTAAAATCCATCACATTATTTACAATTTTTTCCCTTGAGACATTCCTGTTTTTTTTTAAGGCAGCTTTAGTTACTTACAAAGTTCTTCATTAGTAAACAAGCATGTTCCTTTCCATATTTTCTATCACTGATCTTTATTCACTTTCTAGAGTTAACAGAGTAAGTCTATTCCTTTTTTTTCTTAAATGGGAGTCCTTGAAATACATAAAGACAGATAGATAATTAATCACAACTTGAGAATCTAAGGATGAGGAATTGTACTGGGAACTTTATATACATTACATCTTTAATCCTCATGACAACCTTTATCAGGTAGGTATCTTGTGTCCATTTTATAAGTGAGGAAGCTGTGACGGTGAGAAATGTGATTTAAGGTCACACAGCTAGTTAAGTGGCAGGTTTTGAATGGCATCTACTTTAACTCCAAAGGCTGAGAGAAAGGGAAAAAAAGGCTCTTTCATATGCCTATTGAGTAAACCAAACAAGGTTCATTCACCAGGCAAGATATAATTCTAAAGAATTCCTGATTTCTGTTATTTATCACTGCTTCCTTAAGGAAACATATACTGTTTAAAAATAATTTAATCTAGAATACAGGCTAACAACAACCCTGTGCTAAACGGGCTTGATTTGAAGAATCAGCTTTCCTTTTTTAACATTAAGAACGATTTTTGCTTGCTTCTCACTAAGTTTTCTTTTGTTCTTCACAATACCTTAAGCAATGTTGCCCAAATTTCCCTGATGGTATCACCTGGGGAACTGTTAAAAAACACAAATTCACAGGCTCTACCTCAGACCCACTGAATCAGAATCTCCAGGGAGGAGATCCTGGAAACCATTTTTTTCATTCCTTTTCTTAACCTTTTACCTGGAAATAATTTCTAACTTATAAAATGTTGCAAAAACAAAACAACAAACAAAAAACAACTCCACAAAGATCATCCATATATCCTTTACCAAAGGTTTATCTATTGTTAGCATTTTATCCTGTTTCTGTAGTACACACACCCATGTACATTTTTTTGTGAACCATTTGAGGATATATTACATACGTCATCGTCCTTTACCCCCTAAATACTCCAGTGTATATTTCCTAAGACTAGGAATATTCTCTTC